CCTGGTTATCTGGTCAAGGCTTGCAGTGAACACATCCAGCAAAGATCTTGAGCACTGTAATGTGGTCTGTAATTGTCTTGTGACAATCCTGCAAAAGTCCAAAAAGTTTGATGTATGTACCATAGTTTATGGCTGCTGCAAATACTTTAACCACATTGCAGTCTATCATCACTAAGAAGCTGTGGAACCACTTTTCAGAAAAGCAGTCATTTGGCATTTGTCTGAAATTCTTCTGTTTTGGTACACTAATAAGTAAGGAACATTTCAAGCAAGAAGCCCTAATTGTTAAATCCCCTGCAAGTTCCTTTATAGGTTTATCATCTAAGATTTGACACCAACGTGTTTTTAAATAGATTGCAGCTTTTCTGTGACGTTGAACAATTTGACCGCATTTTAGCGTACTTCAGTTTCTAGTCCCAGCTTTGACATCACTGTTAATGTAACCCAGCCTCCACATCTTTTAGAGACGGTAAGCAGACTGGGTTTTCGTCGTGATGAAGCCGTTTAGTACGCACTGAAGGAAGCATGCATTTCCTGTTTTGCTCCGATTTAATTTGTTTTGGTTTTCGTCATGATAACATCAGTGGCAGAAGTAATGAAAGCTGTGGTTGGTTGCGGGGAACAGAGGAGTATTATTTCAGACTATTCACACATCACGTAACAGAAGAGGTATTGATACCAGTAAAGCTTGATGTCTTTGTTTTTCAACTTGATTTCTCAAGGAGATGTGTATGAAGCATTTTTATGTAGGAGAGTTCTGAGTACTAGTAGGTGAATTCCCTGGTCTTGCTCATATAAGGTATCTCTCTCCAGACCTGTTATTTGTGAAAGTACAGGTGTAGTCTGCTGGTTTGTGCTTTCAATATCTGTCTAATGGATTGGGGAACCTTTTATAACTCCAAAACTAATTGTGACCTTAAAAGACAATATTATCTTACCATTGCTGTTTCCTAATCTACCTGCTGCAGTCATTCCATCTTTCTTGAAAGTGGCACATCTCCAGACGTCCGTTTAAGCACCACCCGTTTTAATTGCAGTAAAACGTAGACTTCGTGTAGAATTTAGCAGCCTGTAATTTACTACTTGTCAGTGCTTTTTTTTTTAAAATAAAGCCATTTAAAACACAATGGTTACAGTCTTCTCAAAGAAAACGTCACTTATGAAGCTCACTGCTGCTCCTAATTCAGTTTGGTGCTCTGATCTGCACTGTAGATGTGGTCAGAGAAGCATGTACTGATGCAAGCAGTGTTACACCCCCCCAGCAAAGGCGCTTTAGTAAAGACACCTGAATACTGAAGTTTAAGAAAAATAGCAAATGAACATATGTGGCTAAACCCTAATGTTTTTATAGTGTAACATTTTTTCCTCAAAAGGGAAACAATATTTTTTCAGTGTAGATTTACGGGCACAATGTGCTTCCAAAAATGTGTGTATATACCAAATACAAGGTCTTTATGTATCGAATGCGCAGGTATATGTACAGTTTAAATTGAAGAACGTGGGGGTGATATTAGATTGAGGCTTAACGTTCGACCCACATGTGCAACAAATTGTCAAAACATCTTTCTTTCATCACAGAAATATTGCCAGACTTCATCCTATGCTATTGTTAATTATTGCTGAAAAGCTGATCCACACCTTTGTCTTCTCCCGAATTGATTACTATAACGTTCTACTCGCTGGGGTTTCTAAATCTGCATTGAACCAACTCCAGTATGTCCAAAATTCGGCAGCCAGAATCCTGACCAGGTCTAGAGCAAGTGATTACTCCTATCCTGGAGTCCATACACTGGCTTCCTGTCAGGTTTCATGTCGATTTCTAAATCCTCATGCTCACCTGTAAGGTTCTGCATGGGTTGGCACCTCAGTATCTGAGCTACTGTCCTACTCCCCACCTCACAACCTTTGCTCTTCTAATTCTGGTCTACAAATCTGTCCCCCAAGCCTGTCTACACGCTATGGGTGACAGGGCCTTCTCCTGTTATGCCCCAAATCTCTAGAGCTCTATCCCCAAGGATATCAGAGAGTCACCTTCTCTAAACTCCTTCAAACCCAGACTCAAAACTTTCTTCTTCTTTAGAAGAGCCTTTACTTAAGTGGTTCCGTTATAGTTCAAGTAGGGAGCTGCGTCAACATGCGTAGGCAGCAAAGGAACAAGTAAAGGTTTATTCCCTGCTGAAAAGAGCATGAAACGTTGCATTTCTTTTCTTCTCTTTCCAGCATTGAATAAACTTTTACTTGGTTCTGTTTTATACCCCTTTGCTCCTACCATATTCAGTTACCCCGATCTACTATCTCCTCTCATTGTGTGTTGTCATTGTATATATGTTGTGTATTTTTTTTTGTTGTTCTATAAAGCACATTGAGAAGCCACCTTTAAAGGTGCTCTATGAAATGAAGATTATTATTATTATTATTATTATTACATGCACATGCATGTTTGCACAGCTGTACTAGACGCATGCTTCTGTCTATAAGGACAGTATCCTGGTGCCCACCTGCACCGGGCTGATGTTCTGAAGCGGTCTGAGTTGTACGTGTGCTTCCCCAGGTGTGGCGAGCCTGAGCCAGAGCGCGCTGAGCCGGCCCATGCAGAGGAAGCTGGTGACCCTGGTGAACTGCCAGCTGGTGGAGGAGGAAGGGCGGGTGCGCGCCATGCGGGCGGCCAGGTCCCTGGGCGAGAGGACCGTCACCGAGCTCATCCTGCAGCACCAGAACCCCCAGCAGCTCTCCGCCAACCTGTGGGCGGCGGTCAGGGCGCGGGGGTGCCAGTTCCTGGGGCCCGGTAAGTCCTGCTCTGCTGGGGCAAGAGTGGCTGAAGACCTGGGTTGGGTTGGGGTTGGGAGGGGGCGAGATCAATAGTCGCCCGGTTCAGCCTAATTGTCGACAGGGTTACATGAAACATGCCAAAGACATGCTTTCACATAGTTTGCCTGTTTTTTTCTCTTCTTCATATGGCCATTTTCACTTCAGATTTCACTGTCGGCGTTTTTTTGCTGCTCTACACCGTACGGGACTGGAATGGCAGAGTGGGGTTTAATAAGAAAATGGCATCAAAGAGCCTTGGTGTGCTGTGGAGTTAAATCTAGCTGCGCCCCAATGTTATATTTCTCTTCATCTGTGCTTCATGTGAGATATCCCAGAGAGCACCATCTTGATTGCGTTCCCCATGCTGGTGAAATGCTGGTGAAATTGAGTACTGTAGCAGCATTTCCTGTGTTTGTGTCTTGGGAAATTGTTAGAAATAAGGCATTGAACAATCATACTTGGCCTGCCTGTGCCATTCCTGCTAGATTGACTAGGATCATAGCATTTGACGGGTTGTTAGGTTTTTTTTTTTAACCAAATGCAGCCAGCCAGCGCGCCGATAGTTTCAACTCACTTTCTCTTTTAGGTCCCTTTCCTGGCAGATTTTGACATTGTGATCTGTATATGTATTTTGTGTCTTTTTTCGTTTTCTTTAACTGATATCGCACGAGTGTTCCAAATACATAGCCGAAGGGTTTGTTTGCATGCTCTCCTCTGCCTCCTCTCTGTGCGCCTGTTTGGGGAGGATTGGATTTGCCGAGCAACTGAAGGCGATTTACTCTCTCTGTCCTTTGCACTGCAGCGAAAGGTTGCCCGTCTCCAACCGAGTGCTAAACATCAAGGCCTTGGAATTGGCCAGTGGCTGATGTTACCTTGGATGTGATCACAGTGTTCTAGTGCATACAAATTGGCATGCTGTTGTGTTGCTTCACTGTGCTGGCCCGCAGCAATGCAATTGTCGTCTTGAAACCCACACAATAAACAAGTTGCACGTAACCTGGTCGAAAGCTCCAGCTTTACCTGTTATAATGAACTTTTCTATTGGTGTCCAGGATTGGATTGTCATGGTTGGCAGTATTTACAAATCAATAGAGAGAGCATCCCTGGGCCCGTAATCACCTAGCAGTGGTGGGGCCATGCCTGCCTGTCATTGATGGTGCACTCTGTATACAGATGGCGCGAAGCTGTTGTGTTTTGCTCGTGTCCAATGATGAGCACTCATAGGGCAGATTCTGAGTGGGAGGGAATTGTTTCTCCACACCTGATTTGACTTGATTTCTAAAATCTGAGGACACGCATAAAACAGCTTCTAGCGGCCCTGTCTTACTTTAAAAAGCATTGAGTACTTGAGCTGAATCGCCTATATATTTGGAGCTTCTTTGCTTCTGATTTTGTGCTGGGAAGGCCTCTCCTAGATGTTTAAAGTGGGGACAGTTCTCCCAGTCACCCCCCTCCTGTTCACACTGCACTGGCTTGACTGCAGGGAGTAGTGATGTAGCTGTTTGGTGTTTTTAGCGATGCAGGAAGATGCCCTGAAGCTGGTCCTTCTGGCCCTGGAAGATGGTTCTGCTCTGTCTCGGAAAGTGTTGGTCCTCTTTGTTGTGCAGAAACTAGAAGCTCGGTTCCCTCAGGCTTCCAAAACCAGCATCGGCCATGTCGTCCAGCTTCTGTATCGGGCGTCTTGCTTTAAGGTAATGTATCCATTTCCAGTTGCCTGTATTGCCTCGCTCACACTTGAATTGCGGGACGTAATCACGAATTCTGTTAAACGCTGAAATGTATACCAACGAATGGCCACTGAGCCATTTTCTGAAGTTATGAAGTTGTGGCCAGCAGCAATCTCAGCCTGCAACTCTCATCTGGCAGCCCACTGAAGCTCAGCAGATGTGAGCCTGGCCAGTACCTGGATGGGAGACCCCCCTGGGAAAAACTAAGGTTGCTGCTGGAAGAGGTGTTAGTGGGACCAGTAGGGGGTGCTCACCCTGTGGTCTGTATGGGTCCTAATGCCCCAGTATAGTGACGGGGACACTATACTGTATAAAGGCGCCTTCCTTCGAATGAGACATAAAACCGAGGTCCTGACTCTCTGTGGTCATTAAAAATCCCAGGACGTTTCTCAAAAAGAGCAGCGGAGTTACCCGGGCGTCCTGGCCAAATTTCCCATTTACCAATCATGGCCTCCTAATAATCCCCATCTCTGAACTGGCTTCTCCTCCCCACTGAGAGCTGGTGTGTGGGGAGCGGACTGGCGCACTCTGGCTGCCGTCACATCATCCAGGTGGGACTGCACACTGGTGGTGGTAGTGGGATTCCCCATTACCTGTAAAGTGATTTGAGTGAAGTGTCCAGAAAAGTGCTATATAAGTGTAAGCAATTATTATTATTGAAGTTCTTTAAAGACATTGATGCAGTCAGTACTTTAGATCGTAATGCAAAATGTGAATATGAAAAAATAACTTTTATCAAGTCATGAGTTGTGGTCAAGTTTGACTGCATTCCTGATCAGAAGAGAAGTTTGGTTTCTGCCTTGCATCTGCACAAGACATTTCCCCAAGCGGTTGTCTTTTTCACGACGTTCTTCATGACAGAGATGCTCTTACAAGATATTGCCTTCATCCTTTTCACATAATCAGTAATTCAACAGAAAGGCACGTCTGCCTCTGCCCTCCAGACTTGATACATTTGTCCGTCTCAGCTTGCTTAAATTGAAACGCAGATTCTTCTCAGTCTAAACTCAGCTCTGCTGTGGCACCATTATGTAAGCTGCAGCTTTTGCTGAAGGGCTTGAGATGTGGGCTGTTTGATGCAGGAACACATGGCTGAAAGTGCAGCAATTATTTCAGGTCTGGCAGAACTTGCATATGAAAACTAAAGGAAGCGATCTGATAAATTCCCCTCCCCCCCAAAATAAAATAACGTACTTCAGTCTTAATTGCAATTTGTTCTGGCTTGTTGCGGCATCACTGGCATCATAGGAATGTGAACCGTGCCCTGACAGTGATTCTGTGCGCTATATTTGAACAGCTGCGAACAAAGTCACAGTTGTTGTCTAGTGCTCTGTTTTTTTTTTTTATGAGCTTCAGAAGTATTTCCTGTAGTAGGTTACAGTGCTCAGGGTTGTTCCATCCAATTACGTGCAGCAGTTTAACGTCACATTCCTATGGGGACTGAACAGATTTTATATGCTTTTCTCACCATCAAACTTCATCCTTCCTTTTTAGTTCGGGATGCTGGCTGCTTCATTTTGGCTTGTCAGAGAATCTGCTTTAAGAACGACCTGACGTGCAGCTTTGTGTGAATTGTCTGCCTTCCTTATTTTCCCCATGATGATAGAACTTGTTTTTTTCAGTGGAAATATTGGGGAATGTCCTACTTTAGTTTTCTGTATCTGAGCAGCAAGAGAAATATGGTCAAAATATTTCTGCCTTTGGAACTTTGACCAAAATACAATTCAGAGTTGTATGAATCAGGATTTTGCCTTTCCTAAAGGTCTGTTACTATTATTTCATGTATCCCTGCTTTAACAGAGTAGGTACAGTGCATATCAAGTTTCAACATAACTATCTAAATATATAAATATTTAAAGGTAGAACCTGTTTTCCTTGTTGCACTATAAATATCCGGTTTGCAGGCAAACCTGTTTTCTTGGTATCCGTATTACTTGATTTGTGTTTCCCAACTTAATAATAACATCACTTTATTAACCCTGTACAATTTCTTGCATTAGGAATTTGTCTTTCTGCAGACCCCAGCTTGCTCTCCATGAGACACACAGACAGGGAGAGAAGCTGGGGGTCAGAGCACAGGGTCAGCTATTGTACAGCGCCCCTGGAGCAGTTGGGGTTAAGGGCCTTGCTCAGGGGCCCAACGGAGTGGGACTCCTCTGCCGGCTGCGGGATTTGAACCGGCAACCTTCCAGCCACAGGCGCAGATCCTTAGCCACAGAGCCACCACTCCGCCCACAACTTGCTATGTGAGCTCAGGCATCCACATTCATTTTTACAAGAACCGAACTTCCGAAATATTGACATTTCCGCAGATGAGAGGACGGCCCCGTTTGTCTAGTAACCTGCGCTTGAATAATAGTGGAACTCACTTACCTTTGAGTTACCATTTCATCACATGTAGTGAGGCAAGCCTCAGGCCTTATTCATCGGGACAGGAACACCGTGCAGTGCAGCGCAGTACAGGAAGAAAGAGCCCAGTGGCAAGACAATAACCTGCTGCTCTTGGAAGACTTAAGGCTTCTTATCCCATCAGGTCACCAAGAGAGATGAAGACTCTTCCCTGATGCAGCTGAAAGAAGAGTTCCGCACCTACGAGGCCTTGCGCAGGGAACACGATGCGCAGATTGTTCACATCGCCATGGAAGCAGGCCTTCGTATTTCTCCCGAGCAGTGGTCTTCCCTCTTGTATGGGGATTTGGCACACAAATCTCACATGCAGTCTATTATTGATAAGGTAAATAAATGTCCGTCACTTTAAGGGCGGATGTGCTTGTGGTTTATTTTTTTTATGCCTTGTGCCTGCAACATGAAATATTTTTGGCAAAGGATCTTTTAGCTATACAGATTCTGATGTGATTATTGATGTTGAAGGCAGTACAAGCTGTTTTTGTTTTTAAAGTGATTCATTTAAAATTGTAGCATAATTGACATAATTAGCTGTTGTGTTAGCCATGGATAATCTGTTATTAAAGAGAATCCACAAGCTTGACAAATTTCTGTTACGGATTTGTTTTTAAATTAAAAAAACAAAACATGCAAAAACATGATAAATCTACATCAGAATGACATTTTTAGTTATTTACCACTTTAATGGAATGATAGAAAACTCAATACAGTATCTCTAATACTGTTTAGGGGTGTAAGGGAACCTATAACATTCTTAAGTTACAATTACAAAGAACCACACAAGAATTGAACTTCAGTCATCTATTTCATCAACTGCCAGGATGCATAAGCAAAACAAATGATTGGGTATACAAGGCTTGTCTGTTAGGATAACCTGAACCTGAGCCATTACACACAAAGAATTAACACTTCAAAAACTTCAAAAACGTTTGGGAAGAAACTTTAAACTGTAAGGTGCTTTTATTTGTATTTCCATGAAGCTCCAGTCCCCAGAATCCTTTGCAAAGAGTGTTCAAGAGCTGACGATAGTTCTGCAGCGAACAGGAGACCCAGCAAACCTGAACTGTTTGAGGCCACACCTGGAACTTCTAGCAAATATCGACCACAATCCAGGTAACTGATGTTATGTTATGACTGGTAATTGAGGACACCAGTTAAGGTGTTCTGAATTGCAATTGCAAAAAAGGCTTCCAAAACGAATTAATTTACATATTCAGATGACCATGTACCTAAATGTAACAATTATAAGACCATCCAGGCCACAGGAACAGTCAGTTAATAGGCACAGCCGATTGTCTTTGGTCATCACAACCTGGGCTCACTTTCATCAGAGGTCCTGCTGGCTGTTTCATGTCCTTCGTCTGTGTGGTTTGATCTGTAGATGCTGCACCCCCTACCTGGGATCAGCTAGAAAACGTGATGCTAGCTGTGAAGATCGTGGTGCACGGACTGGTGGACTTCATCCAGAACTTCAGTAAAAAAGGGCACGAAACGCCACAGGTATGAAGCCTCTTGTTAACAGCTGCCCTCTTGCTAATTTTGCTAACAGTATATGCTGGAATTACACCAATGCTTCATTTTCTTTTTCTTAATCACGTTGCAGTATGATTGTTATGCTGTGTAACTTAATTGAAGTTACAGGAAAGTTGTGAAGATTTAGTAACCCAATTGCCTGGGAATTTGTCCAGTGTTGTGTAGAAAGTGTTTGTCATTTACATTTCTTTTGAAGGGTGTATGAGAAAGAAGGCAGATTGGAAATGCTTTACTTAGATATGCACAATTTCGGAAGAAAAGGGCTTAATTTCAACAAGTCTTACGGGTTTTGTTAGATTTCCAGCACTGAAGACATTGGTGTTAAATAGATCAATTAGGCCATTAAGAGCTCAGGTTAAATGAAAGTCATATTCTGCTTTTTTATTCCAACTGATCTGTGAGTAACTTAATTGGCCAATTAGGAGTAACAGGCATGGATCTCTACTTACAACCACTTTTTAAAGCTGCTTATTAAAACTACAGGAAGTGGCTCTCTAGGTGCAGGATTGGAGACCCTCCGTCCTAATTGTACCTTTCACTTACATTCTTGGTATCTTCAGAACATTTCCTTGTCTAATCTATATTTCATTAAATTTCAAGCCACAGCCAAACAGCAAATATAAAACCAGTATGTGTCGGGACTTAAGACAACAGGGAGGCTGCCCACGGGGATCCAACTGTACATTCGCTCATTCACAGGAGGAGCTTGAAAAGTGGGTATAACGTTTCCCAGCCGCGCCATCTGTGGTTATCACTGCACGTCGATATATTCACATCTTAGACTTGACAAAATAAGCTCTAGAAATTCCTTCTGTTGCGGTTTTTGCAAATGCAAAATGACCATTGAAATGTCTGAATCGGCCTGTCGCGCCTGAAAAAATAATACGCATTTGTCATGTCAGTAGCGAAATACAAATGCCGCATACCACGAAATCTCAGTGACCCTGTATCATCTGCTGCAGCGTCTCCTGTAAATCTATTCAAGCAAAGGCACGTTTTGTTTTCATTTGGACTCTTTGACGTGGTTCGCCTCTCCTTTGGGACCGTCGGGCCTGATTCACCCCTTGTCCTCCAGATACCGCATGAGGAATAAGAAGATCAGTGGCACTGTGAGACCGTACCCCCTGCCTCAGACTGTGCTCAGCAAGACGGCGGGCAGCACCGCGGGCTCAGGGCTGGCGGAGGGCATGGAGAAAGGGGCCCCCAGCAGCGCGGTCTTGAGCCTGGCAGACAGCACGGCCCCCAAGCTCATTCCCCGGGGGGGTGACGCCTGCCTGGAAGATCTGAAGAAACTGGCCAGGAGCGGATCCAGCAGCTTGGGTGCCCTCTCCACCTCGCCCACCGAACCGTACGTCTCGCAGATAAACTGCGTTTGTGCCTGCCTGACGTTGGCACTGGAAAACTCCTGGACAGATCAGATAGGCTCCCCCCCCCCATCTCGGCCATTCACATCAGGCTTTTAAAAATGCTTTGCTTCTTATCTAAGGCGTTATGATTTGATTAACAGTTCCTGAGCATCCAGAACAGTCGTTTATGCTGTTATTCTGATAACAGTCAATTTATTAATGAAAGTAATTTCTATAACAGTAATGTAGTGTCAGGAATTTATTAAACGAAACGTCCAGGACTCTCGGAGAGCCCTAACATGCAACACTCTTTGATGGAAGGATATTAGGGCAAACGAGCTCGTTCTTTGCTCGTGTGCTGAATCTCGGCGCATACTTTTCCGAGTTCATGGGCAGGTGTGAATGAAATTGTGGTGGGATTCCCCTGCGTCTTTTAAAGTTTTAACTGCGCTGGCTTTTCCCGTTGCAGGAAAACGGGTTCCCCTCCCAAGACGCCCGTCAACCACGTCTCAGCTACCTCAGCTATTCCTCCCAGTGTCGGAGCTGATAGCAGTTCAGTACATTCTAAGCCTGGACAGTTTGTTCCAAGAGTTTCCCTTTACCCTTCCCAGCAAGCGGACGTTTATTACCAGGACCACAGGACACCTTACGACGTTGCGTCATACCAACAAAGCAGTAAGTGAGGCCGAAAATCCCAGTTTGACATTCCTTAGAATGCTGACCATAAGAAAATCAAGGAGTTCATCTAGAAGTATTTTACTACATGCTTATACAATATGACGTTTGAAAAGAAACACTAGAATGTGGTATCAATATTTGTATCTTTCTCTCACCCTGTACTGCCAACAACCAGGGCACAGGTAATGAACAAAAGATAACAGGAAACGTGCTTTGAGTTGGATCTGTTTGGCAAACTACGGAGTCTTGACTTTAGATGTTAATAATAGTAATTAGAACCTTTAAAGATTTACTAACAGTGTCGCCCGGTGCTACGATGACATCCATTATGAATTTGTAGCCCAGACATGTTTTTACTTGGCAAGATAAGATGATGAAAGTGGTGGCTGAATGTAGTAGATGTAGACAAGGATTACAACTTGGACATAAGTAGTTTATTTGACAGAGGAAGAGATGGCTAAAATCAGACAGTGCTGTGCGTGCCCTCAGCTTTGGTCTATAATGAGGAAAAGCACACAGTCAGACACAACAATTGCACCTTCATGACAAGGCATGCTAGGAATCTGTTTGGTATAGAATGCAGAATGTGCCCTTTTTAGTATTCATTATTACAGACTTTTTTTGTTGTTTTTTTTTAGAAGCTGTAAAAAGCATTTCTGAACATTGAGGGGGTTTTATATTTTAATTTTCCTGTACGCACTGCAGTCACTTTTGCATGATCGCTTTTGAACTAAAAATCCTGTAGTCAGTCGCCAGCCCCTCCCGAGTTCTCTGCAGTATGAGATCAGGGCGTACATTTGCTGCTGTCAATATGCCGACTAATTAGAGGGACAGTCTGCCTGCGGTACCTTTAATCTCCATGAAGCCAAGCTAGAACTGGAAGTACCGTTCGCGCTGTTTTAAATATCAGAATGATCTCTATTGCCTGGTCACAATAGGTCTGTAGCAGGTTGAAAACTGTATATTTATAAACAATGATGGAGTTTATTTGGGGGCTAAAGATGTTCATATAACCCATCTTGCAAGGAACAGGCATGCATATGTCCACTGAAACCACACACATTTTTAAAACCTTATATTTTGTCTAATTCTGAGGGCTGGTAGGTGAGTTTGGGGAACGAGACAGGTTGTGCTGTGGTCACGACAGTATATTTTAAAACAGTGTCTGCATTCATTTCCAATTGTGCCACAAAGGAATAGGATCGTTTCCCTCCAAGCAATTCAAAACGCCAGGAGAAGCTTAAAAGTTCTTGGGGGTTTTACCGCGCAGAGCAGGATTCCCGTTTTGAGACTCCTCTTGTCTCCCTTCCTTCCTTTCCCAGACAACTACTACACTCCCCCCCCTGCCAGCTTACAGCCGGGGCAGTGTGGCACGCGCTATGTCCGTTCCAGCAACGTGCCTGAGGGCTCCCTGCCTCCCCCGTCCGTGCCCTACCCGGACCAGTACTCGTCCTTCCCCGGCCGGGAGCGCGTCGGCTCCTCGGCCTACCCCCCGCCGCCGCCGCCCCCGCCGCCCCCCC